AAAGTGTTAATGTGAAACATGTGAGTCATGTGAAACATGAGAGGCTGGCTCCAGTTATCCATTGAGCCTCACAGTGTAATAGAGACTTGAAAACAGCAAAAAAAAGGGGGAAGAACAACCCAAATTGAATTGAATTAAGAACCTAAAGGTTAAGATCTAAATGTACATAGGCCCAATAATTATGTCAGTCAAATTAAAAACATTGATAGATATACAAAAATAGACACGTATTTATTACAAAGTAGATTAAAAACAGATATTGGCCTTGGTGATAGCCTTAATTAAGAATCAAATTGTACAGTGACACCAAAATGACCATTATTGACCCTGACCATTTACATTTTGGCCCACTGGCCTTCCTCCGTGGTCAAATAAATGATATTATAGAATGGCTTTTGACATTACAATGACTCCTGACATTCCTTATAAACTGACCAAGATGAAATTTTGTAATGATTATTGCCTCTCACCAAAGGCAAAGCTATTAATCAGAGGCCTCATTCTTGATTGTTTGCTGCCATGGTCAAGTACACTTTCCTATAGTAATGGTTCAATTGTGTACCTAAAATTCTTTAAAGATATTCTTTCTCACTTTGCCTGGCTGCATCAATTTTTTCTGACCAAGTCAGGGTCAATAATTGTTTAGTAGAGATTTAATCTGGTTCTCCCCAGTAGATTTGGTCTACACATCCAGCAGAATTTGAGAGTGCTACATTGGTAAAACAAACTGTACCACTTCAGAATGCAGGACAGAGATTAAGTTTTCCAAAATCCACCCGCCCCCCCGGCAGTTATTCCCTATAAGTAAAAACAAAAACAAAAATGGCACAGCATGCAAAGAGTTAAGCTGGAACTCTTACTTCTGATATGCTTTTTTAAAAAAAATGTAGGGAAGTTTTTACATGGACATTAAAAATGTGAACCTCTCCATAAGTAAACTGAAGTGGCACAGCCCATTCTACTACTTCATTGTGCTGCACTTCTAGACCAGGCCCAAGTCTGACTGTGCCACACTGGCTCTCTATCCAGACATTGTTATTTAACCCTACAGCAACAAATCAGAACTAAATCAATTTTTACACTGTGAGACGTACCTTTTATGGTGGTGACTAATAAACTGTAATTTAGCTGTGCTGCATTTAAGAAATTTTGCCAAGTGTATGCATTTCAGCACATCACACTTCCTGACCCAGATACCCACAGCCCAATGGATTAGTAGAAAATGGCTTTTAAATAATTAAGAAATGATTTAGAAAAGGAGCACATTCTCAAGTGCAGCCATATTTGGCAGTACCAAATTACAGAACTACACAGTTAAGACATTAGATGGTCACCTGCAGAGTTGTTGTTTTGAGTTGTATACTAGAATCAGAATCCCTCTGGTTCAAAAAATGAAATCAGTGAGGGAGTGAGCAATTGTATAGAAATAAGACAGAATGGAAAGTGAAAGAAAGGGTGTCTTATGATTGGAGCACTTAACACTTTACCATAATAAAAGGGAGGGGAAACCCCAATTCTGCAGAATGGAAAATATCAGGGGGAACAAAAGTATATGGAGTCAGAAAAAGGGTTAGATCTAATTTAGAAACAGAAATTATGAATAGGAAAGAATGTGCAGCTCAAAATGAAAGGTTGTGGAAAACCCAAATATTAATGGGGATTTTCTACAATAAACTGGAGTCAAGGGGGAAATGATCAAGTTCATCAAGGATGCAACAGAAGATAATGAACTGAGTCCAAAGTCAATGTCTTCAAGAAAAGTGGCACTTCTGATAGTGAAAGACATCTTGCCAATTGCCCCCTGCCACTGCATTCTCCTTCAACCCCACGTTGTTCTGAGACTCCCCTGATCTGAAAAGGCAGGATTCAGGGTGAACAGTTGGCTGCAGTGGGGAGAAAAGTCTGTTCCATGAGTTGAGCTCCATTCATGGTCCTTTGGAACTAACCCGATGATGCAACATCTAACATATACCACAGAGCCTTTACAGCATGAAGGGACAACTTGACTCAGCAGTATTTAACTTTTCTTTGCTTTCCCTGCTGGCTTTCCTGCAGAAACAGGGTAGACAACAATGTGTTTGTAACTATATTTGATAGTGAGAGGAATTTCTGTGTAGTTTCTTATTAACTGGCCTGTGCTAAAGTGGGAGGTTTCTTTCTCTAACATGGAAAACATATTTTCACCCAGAACAAATCAAAGCACTCAGAAAACAAGATAAATTTGTTCATATAAACTCCAACGTAAATGTTTATGTTTAACAAACTGTTGATGAAACTACTCACAGCAATTCAATGATTTTTCTCTGTTAGATATTGTCTTCCTATCAGAATGTTGAAAGGAAGAAAGTCGATTCATTTGAAATGTGGTGTTGGAGGAGGGTGTTATGGATACAGTGGACCACCAAAAACCTACTAATAACTGAGTTCTAGATCAAACCAAGCCTGAACTCTCCCTAGAAGCTAAAATGACTACACTGAGGCTATTGTACTTTGGTCAAATTATGAGAAGAAGAGTCACTGGAATAGACGATAATGTCTAGGAAAAAATGAAGGCAGCTGGAGAAGAGGCAGACCCAGCATGAGATGGGTTGACTCATTCAAGGAAACCATGACCCTCAGTTTGCCAGACCTGAGCAAGGCTGTTAATAATAGACTGTTTTGGAGGTCACAGGGTCACCATAAGTCAGAAATGACTTGATGGCACTTAGCAAAGAAACGATATAACACTAAAAGGCCACCAATTCTAATTCAGAAAGAGGTGCAGACAGTTTATTAAGGAAAACAAGAGCAGATCTTGTGAAGTAGCCCTTAAAATTCTCACAAGATACAGTGTACAATACATACCCTGAATATATAAAAAATATGGAAAGTAAAGCTAGAGGACTTGAGCAGAATTTTACTTATGAAAGAAAGATCACACTGACAGAGTCGCCAGTCTCTACGTGGTGACTGGAGATTCCCCAGAATTACAACTCATCTGCAGGCAACAAAGATCAGTTCCCCTGGAAAAATGGCAGCTTTGGAGGGTAGACTCTATGGAATCATATCCCCCCCTGAGCCCCCTTCCCTCCCCAAATTCTGTCTGCCCCAGGCTCTGCCCTCAAATCTCCAGGCACTTCCCAAGCCAGAGCAGGAAACCCTACATGATACTTTGTTAATTTCTTTCCAAACTGGGAAAGAAATGAAATGGGACAGAAGACTAAAATCTCTGAAATTCATAAAGATAATATACAGGAACTAAAACTCAAACATTAGTTGATTTTATATAAAGAAGAAACAGGAAAAGGAATGTTGCAAGTATTCTATGTTCCCTTTCAAACCACTAGAGGGCATTTGTACACCTACTAGATCTAAGCAACCTGGCTACCCATTTAGCACCAGGTGATATTGCAAACAAACTCCAACCAACATATATTTCTGCTTAATACAGAAAAAGAAGGGGAAATTATGTACCACAGTGTTTAAGCTTTCATATTTTATTGTCACTAACTCTGTGGCAAAGTCTTAAAATCCCTTCCCTACAGTGGCACTGTCACATACAATCAGGAGTTACATACACAGACTGAGGGTAAACCCCTTAGTGTTGAAAACATAGCAAAAAGAAACAAAGAGTCACAGGCAGTAATACACCTTACGTGAGTGGAAATCCCATGATAAAATAGAACATAATATACATCTATGTATTAAAAAGGAGGAATCTGCTGCAGGGAATACTAAAACTTTTGACTGTACATTGTACACCCACACATAGATCATTCCTTTAGACCTGTCAGATAGGGCATATCTGCACAACAGCTCTCAAAACTTGCAAAATTCAGGACAACAGCACATGAATAGAATAGTTCAATAAACAGCAGATTCATCCCTCCTCCCTCAAAACATCACAAAGCTAACACTACATCTGTATAGCCTACGTTCCTTGTGAAATTTCCTTGCTGGTTATACACATGGGGGAGGGGCTGTGGCTCAGTGGTACACCATCTGCTTTGCATGCAGAAGGTCCCAGGTTCAGTCCCTGACATCTCCAGTGAAAAGGACCAGGCAGTAGGTGATGTGAAAGACCTCTGCTGAGACCCTGGAGAGCCACTGCCAATCAGAATAGACAACACTGACCTTGATGGATGAATGGTCTGATTCAGTATAAGGCAGCTTCAAGTATGTGTTCACAGAAGACTCTCCCTACAGAAACTGGACATGTGACCTACGTGCATCTGACCCTGCAAAGGTGTATTGTGAAGACTTATCTCTAAGGGAGTGCTGGGAAAAGCACATTCAATATTAGTCCATCTATACTGGAAGAAAAAGATTGCTCTCCTTATTAAGGGATTATCCTCATATTATTTGATGTAACTATTAAAATGCTTCTTGACAAAGAATTAAAAACTCATTTATTTTACTCTACCATTCTTTGTGTAATACCAAATAATCTCACAATAATTCGCATAAAATAGGTTTAAAGTTGAATGCTTCAAACCACAGAATTGGCGGGAAACATTTCGGGAAACAAGAACAACCCAGTGAGAGCACTATTCAGTCAAAGAATGTGCTTAGGCTTTGTCCCACTGAAGTCAATGGGAGTTCTTACTAATTCAATACACCCCCCCCCCCTGAACAAATTTAGAAGCACCTTTAACATTGGCTGGATCATGCCCAATCTAAGCAATCTACAGTAATTAAAAAAGAGCAGAATTAAATAATGAAAGGGCATGGTTTCTCCCTTCCTTTTAAACTAAAATATAAGAACACCACCAACTGCAACCATTTAAAATGCCACGCTGGCTGTTGGAATCGCTTTTTAATGTCTAAAAGGTTATTTTTCAAAGCAAATATGTTAATATGCAAACCAGATAACAGACTTTCTTACAATAATTTCCTCTCTCAATATAAACATTTAGAACTATGACCAAATAGCAAAATCCACACAGAATCCCCTCCCGAAGTCAATAGAAAAAAACCCCACACCCTGTTTCTGCCCTTATAAATTCTGACCAGAGGGTGAATTAGCAATGAGTCCCCACAGAAGCAAACGTGGACATCTCACGACGTATAGTACTGAAAGGGGAGAGTTCCAGCTCTGTAGTGTATTCATTGTCATTATCGTCACTTGTCACTGTTGAAGACTTCTGAATGCACTCATCACAGCAGCAGCAGCAACAGTCCATAAAGGCCCGACTGAATGGTTTGCAGAGACAGAAAAGGAGCACTGGAGTCACGCACGATTTAAAGAACAAGAGAAACTGACTAATGAGATGAAGAAGGTCCATAGTCTGCCGAGAGACCCCTGTGGACATGTAGGCAGTGACGATGTTGCAGATGTTCTCCGGAATGATGCAGAAGCCATATAAAATGGTCAAAGCGACCACTGTGCAGTTCATCTGGCTTTCCAGCTGGATCTGTCGCTTATTGCCTCTTGTACATGCCTTCTCTACCTTGCGGATCTTCCTTGCTGTCACCAACGAGCAAGTAATCGTGAAAAGAGTGGGCAAACAAAAATAACAGCCAAAGTACCACCAGAGTCTTGCACCATCATATGTGAGGGCCAACACATAGATGGTGTCCGGTAAGTGAGGAGAGATCTTCACCACACACCGTTCCACAGGAGGGCTCCCACTGACTTCAGAATCTTCTTTGGTCAACTGGCGCAGAACCACCTCAGGAAGGGCTAAGAGGAGAGCCCCGACCCATATCACTGCCAGTTTCGCTGTTGTGGATGTACAGTTTTCAATCATCTCATAATACATCTGCACATTAGTGGCAGCACGGAAACGGTCTATACACAGGGCACATAACGTGAAAGTGGTGACTCCAAGAGATGCTACCTGCATAGGAGAGGAAATACAAAAAAATATTTAATAGAAATGAAGACTTGTGGCTATATCTGGTACTAGATTTCTAAGTGGATACCAGCTTGACCTACAAACCAGTTAAACCTGCATTGCTAGGGTTGCCAGCCCCCAGGTGGGAGTGGGGGATCCCCCAATTTTGTGGGCTCCTGACTGCTGCCAGCCAGCTGGCCGGTGGGGCCAGCTGGCCAGCCCCACCCACAACAGCTACAACCCGGTATGATATTTCCAATATGATGACATCACGTGGAAGTGACATCATCACAATGGGAATGTTGCACGTGGTGACATCGCACTGTCCCCTTACTCCAAGAAAGCTCCCTCCTACCTCTCGCTGGCCAGAGCCTAGGACCCAGCAACCCTATGCATTATTATACCCTGATCCCAAGACTTTCTAAACCAGCACACAGGAAGAAGCACAAACATCACTGAAACACAGTAGTGTTTCAAACCATAATGCCCACTGTATTATGCTGGATCAACAGGAACATTTTGAAGTCACCAAGAAGAAATGTTTATGGTCGGAATGTGAGCTAACTTCAAGCCATATTTTTAGTTAATAAAAAAAGCAACATTCCCTTTTGCTGCAGAACTTCCATTTGCTTCAACAGTGCTGTATTGCATTTCTGAACCTTGCTTTTTAAAGGTAAACCTGTATAATGGTGTATCGGCACAATAAAGGAATACAAACAGGAACGGCTAAAGATTTTCTTTAAAAAAAACTGTTTGCCTTTATAATAAATTAACCCAGCAGTTGCATAGTACACCATGGGGAAAAAACCCTAGAATATTGGACAGCTGTAATTTTTGCTTACTTAATGCTCACTGAGATAATTGAGATTCTGTAATGGGCATATTTCAAAAAGAGTTTGATTCCCCTCATAATGATGAAATATTCTTGTTTATGTACATGCCATTAAAAATTCCTGCAAGGACATAGTATGCAATTATATAAATGTATAATATGCATTGGCCTCCAACATTTAATGGCCATATCTGATTACTAAAAGTCAATAGCACAGCAAAATATTAGACACTTGGGATTAAATTTGGTAAACACTGGCTTAACTGGGAGAGTCTCTGAAATGACTTCTGGAGTATCATGTGGCCCCTTTCCTTTAATTAATCTGCAAAGGGAGGCATATTTAATTATATCAAAGCAAATCTGTAAATATTTTTGATAAGCAAACCTATTAATTTGATGAGTTAAACTATCAGATATCCCTTCAAAGAAAACAGCTTAGTAAACAGAAAGAAAATGGATGGACAAATTTAGAACACACATTTTGGGAGCTTAGTACTGAGAAAGAGGTCAGAGTTAAAATAGCTGACAAATAAAGCTTTTTAACACAACAGAGCTGCCACTTGGCAGAGTGGAAAATTTAAGGGTTCACGATCTTGACACCCAACATATTTTACATCCTCTAGTTCCCTAGCAGCCACATATTTAACCAGGTCAACCAACAGGAAAGTGCAGTTTCAGTACAAAGGCTGCAAAAAGGTTCGTTGTTACATGAACAAGTTTGTGGGATTGTTTGTCTCCTTGTGTTGGGTATTACAAGTTGAAAACACTCAGTATATCTGGGGTTAAATGTTTGCTTATGTTACTCACAGGAAGTCACATGTTTCTCATGTAACCAACGTTCTTTAGCTGTAGAATACCTGGGAATTTTCTCCCTGATCTAGGAATTTGATTGGGACTAAAGTGTCAAGGTGTATTAGCATTTTATGGCTCTCTTCCCGTCTTTGTTTTGGTGTTCTGAAGAAGAAGAGTAGCCATAATCTCTCTTCTTCTAGTTTTGTCTTTGTAGAGTAAGGATGTAGCAGATTTTGCGCTGTTGTTATTTTCATCCCAGTTACCCTTCCCATGCTAGAATTTAGTAAAAACTTTATATTTTAATCACACATGGACTCTGAGTCTGAATTATTTTACTCCGGGACTGCTGGACTATCTTATCTCTGCTAAATACCATTTTTTCAATATCTCACTATCACCCAACACCTTGCATGCAGCTTGAAAATTCAACACTTTCACCTTTGTGACAAACCACCAATTGATGTTTTGTCTGAATCACAAACTACCATTTGTGGCCTTCCCTTCCAAGGTTTATTGCAGATTACAGTTTGTGATTCAGACAAGATTCAGACAACTATGGCTTACCATAAAAGTGGAAGTTCTAAACTGGGATGAGAAGGGAAGAGAACAGGACTGGGTCAAGGTATTTGCTGCCCATACAAAGTACACCTATCCCTTGCTGGGCCTTGTGCCAGTCCCCTCCTCTGCTTCTGGGTGAGAGCAAGCCTTGTAGGTCATTGGTGCTCTCAGTGTGGTGCTCCAAGCAGTTGGACGGTGGCTTGGCAGGAGAAATGGCTCTGGAAGGGAGAAAATGGACAAGTCTGAAGATTCACTGACATAACACAATACAACCACGCAAAGAAAAGTCTCATGGTTTAAAAAGTCTGCAATTTTTTTTAAAAAAAGAGTGTTTTTTCCTCTCCAGTAACATTGCTAGTCACAGTGACGGACTTCCATCTGGAATCAGCTTCTCTATCAGTCAAGCAATTACTGGGTGACTAAGGAAATGTTATAATCGCTCAATTTGTCTCTGAATTGCAACTGTCTATAAACTCACCAAGCATTTATGAGAATAAATGAGATTGGAATTCTAGCACTCTTTAAACACTTGCTTCTTATTCACAGACAATGGCCTGACCCTGATACTGTGCTTTTATTGGTAGTCTCCACACTAAGATTTTATGTGGTGGCACAGCCAGTTATAAATCACAGTAATAAATCATTCCAAGTTATAAATCAATGAACTGGTTGCATCATAACCAATCATGAACATTATCAATAGTTTAATTATATTGCTGCTGTTGTGGCTAAAACAATGGCATAAGGGCCCCAAAATCTTATGTTTGTGTCCTGTGCAAGAACTCCATCCATAAATGTCTGTCATATACAGGATCTTAAAGTCTGAAAACTTTAGAGGCTGGGGGGGGGGGGGGGGGGGGGGGGGATACATCTTTATATAAAAAACTCCAGAATCCCCCCTCCTTTGCTTCCAGCCTGATGAAGAGGTTCTGGTGAATTTGAAAGCTTGCACCCTCTTCTGTGTCATTTTGGTTGCTCCTAATAAAAAGTATTACATGGATTGTGTTCCTGTTTTTTTATTGTCTTTTCATTAGAGGGAGACTACTACGGCTATATTACTGCAAACATGGATGATAAGACAATAAGGCAGAACAGAATGAACCCTGGAAATCAACAAACTGGATCCAGGAGGACTGAGGTTTTTTAAACATATGAGACTTACTTGGGAGTAGCATTTAATCAGAGGTATTATTGGCCTCTGGGATTCTACCTGCAAGAACGACTGTCATTTCTGCTTCCGTTGCCACAAACAGAGCTTACAAGCTGAATCAGGAAATATTTATTTGAGCATGCGAGTTCACTGAACTTTTAGTTGGGCCTTCTGTACAGTAAGGAGCTCTCAATCAACAAAGAATCTGTTATTTTTTCGTTTCTCAGAAATGTCTAGCCCACCTCTTTTATATATCTACAAGTGGGGTCCCGCAAGAAATGTGCAGGAGCAGCTATCCCATTCCCTCCACCTCTTCTTCTTCCCCTGTCCCCCTACTTCTCTCACAC